AATGGACCACACCAAGGCAGTAACACTTTGCAAAGATGTTTCTAGTTTCAAATGGATTGCAAAAGGTAACCCATGTGGTGAAGACTTTAGGCTTCTGATATTTAGGAATTTTCTGAAATGTATTTTTTACCAAAAGCCCAGACTAAATCTCTAATCTCTCTTAAAGTCTGTAATAAATTCTAACATGCCTAGTATATTTGTCATGGGCTTAGGGGTTTTGTTTCCCTCTCCCCCGCCCCCCCCTACACACACACACACACACACACGCTTTAAATGGTGCCAGGAAGGAATTTTGAAACAAAACCAGTGCAGTTCAGGATCTAAATCAGTTCAGGGGAAAAAAAAAACAACTATTATTGCTACAGCAAAAATCAAATCCATTTTACATAGATTTGGACTGGAGAGGAACTGGATCAAAGAGGAGAAGTTAAAAAAGCGTGTTTTACTTTTGTTTGAGAGTTGAATGCTGAAAAGTGCTCAGAGTAGCAATGCACATAGGTTCCTGGGTAATCCCATTTAAATCACAAATATAACTTTCAGGTACAAATCGTTTGTTTCTCTTTCATGTCTTGACCTTTATATGGTTTCAGAAGATTCAAAGAAGCCATTAAATCCTTACCATATTTAACTTGGGAATATGCACAATACAGAGGAAGAATTTGTCTAACAAACTTTGACAGGCATGGCTTATCAGCCTTTTTTTTTTTCTTTCAATATACACAACATTTCCACAGTCTGCCTTGTGACAGATGTTGGAGATATATCCTAAATTTAAAATTACAATGATTGCTACAAGATTCATCTGCACCAAAGGGACGGGATCCTGTCAGGGCAAGTGGAAAGCACAGTCAGCAGAATGTAATACCTAAGTACCTCCTGTTTGAGGATCATGATCCTAAGGGTGACATGCAGTCTTTGTCCCTTCTCTTTGCCCTCCTGTTTCTGCAGGCCTCCTCATCATGGTCTGCAATGGAATAGGATGAACACTCTCAGTGGCATCATTTTGCTTCCTCACACTCACCACAGTTCCCTTTCACAATGACCCAGCTTACAGACTTCACCCATCACACCTCTCTTTCGCTGTTACAAGCAACTGCTAGGGAGGTAAACGAAGGAAAGCAAAGCAGACCATGGCTGTCAGCATGCTCTGTGAAGGTTTACTCCAGCCTGTGCCAGCCTGGACTACATTTCTCCTTGGGAGTCATTATGGGGGCCAGGTCAACCCACTCATGCCCTGCTTCTGCCTGTCTACTACTTACTGCAGAAAGACCTGGCATCACACCAGGCCAAAAGTGTACGTAACATATAGCCCACTAAATCCCCTAGTTCTGCCCCAAACTCTTGTCTAGTCAAGAGAAGGGAAGGGAATCATTTTCAGCACTATGAATTCTGTAGAGGGAAGAAACTACTGCACTGGAAATGTTTCCCAACTACATATCAAATATCAAACAATGAATTATTTTATATGCGGATTTCTTGGCTTTGGACATTTTCCATACAGTGATTATGGTGTTTGCATTCCACAAAGTCATATATATATTTTAAAATATATTTCAGAAAATTAACTTGGTTGGTTTTCAGGTCACAAGAGAAATTTCTTGCCTTTTCTGGATATTGTCTGTTGAGCAAGAATGCACTTAGTATACAAAGATAAATTATGGTAGCCCACGGGAGTCAGTGCCATATTGTGCAACTCACACAAACACCCATGGGCTTGCAGAGGAGAGCTCTGTTTGTTCAAGAATAAGATCTGGTACTTCTCATAACGGGAGTTCATATTACCTTAAAATGCCTCTGCCCTGTAGGTCTGGCTGATGAATAACATCTGTTCCCATAACAACTGCCTCTCCAACAGGAGAGATGGGCTCCGTGGCATGACAAAAACAAAAGTAGTCCACAGGCAGTCCTGTACCAAGGGAGCGAATGGCCACAATAAGAAACAGCAACCTCACTATGGGCCTGATTCAAATCCCACTGGAGCCAGCAGGAAAGAGTCCAGCAGATTTCAGGGGGTCTTGGATTAGGAAGCATGCATACCCCTGTCTCTGCTCACGTAATGGTAGCAGTATCAGCAGCAATGATATATGTCCGTTGACATCAAATGTTTCTCCAGCCCTACACCTTCTCATCAACAACACAGCAACATCTGGTTCACTTTACAATCATATTGATGCAAGCAAAGGAAGACTTCACTGGAGTAAGTGATAGCAGGTATGGTTCTCCATACCTAAGCAAGTCGTAACGGTCAATATAATTTTCATTCCAAAATTACCAGGCTTCCCCTGGCAGGAAAGTTTTGTGCAAAGAGAGATCACAGGGAAAGGGACTCCTCTGCTTTGTTTCCATTCAAAAGAACACAGAGAAATCCTATTCCTAACAAGTAAAATTAGCTTTTAGATCTCATCTGGCTCCTTGTACCAGAGATAATAAAATCAAGGGAATTTATACTGAATTACCAATATTTCCACTGGAAGTGGGTAAAAAAAATCAGCTGAAAAGACTTAGGAATCAAGTTAGCTGGTAGGTGGTAATTTGGTTTCACAACAAGTTTTAAGGTTTTAAAATCAATTTTAGTCCTTCAGTGGAATGAAAACATAACCTCTAAAAATTTTGTCAAAATTAAATTGTAGATAAACATCTGTTTTCTTATCATAAAGCATAATTTTTTTAGCTCCGATCCTCTCTCACTTTCTTCCCTTCTTGCTCCGCCTCTCACTCTCTGTCACCAGAGGTAGCTGCAGAGCCCTGGATCACAAACTCTTTCAGCTGATTTTTTTTTTTTTTTTTTTAAATCAATACATCTCTGTGAGTTATTTTGTCTTTTCATCAAAAATGCATTCTGTCAAGAATGTTCATAAATAACTCCGCCTGGGAGAGGTTCTTAGCTTGTCCCAAAAAATTGATATCTTACACATCTAACTGGATAGCCAGCTGCTCAGCTGTGAGGCTTTGGGTGAAAAGCACACAGTGAACTGCTGAAATGACAGTCCTATATATTAAAAATGTCTGGGCTATTCTCCTGTCTATTTTTTGCAGAGTATAAATTCTGTTATATTCCCCTCAGCCTACTCTTACTATACAAAACACATACTTAATTAAAGCATTCCTCCTCACAGTTTTGTTCTCTTGAACCCGATCCCAAGGATTTTAGGGATGTACCCGTGAATAGACAGTAGGCAAAAAAGTCTGTCTAGCCTTATGTTCCTCTATTTATCCATGTGTTCACTTCAACATGGAATTGGCAAACAAATCTTAGCTGTTTCTAAAAGCAAAGGCAAATGCATGAGCCCCACCTTCTGCCAGTTATATTTCTTTAAATATAAATTACAAAGTTGCCTCAGACAGAAAACCTTTACCCTGGTATAGCATTCTGACTTTTCCATAGAGACAGGCTTGCTTATTTTTCCTTAGAGGTCAGAAGGGTTTTTGCTGTTGTGCTGACTTTTTGCATCATCTTCTTCCTTTTGCATCTGAAAGAAAATATGCAGTGATGAAGTGACAGTGAAAATGCACTGCTCTGTTTAAGTGACATGGATTGTGTGTTTCTGTGCATCAGCAGGTTAGTCACAAGGGCCGGAGAAGGATTCCTTAATCTCTGATGTATGGAGGAACCAAGCATAACTGAATTTTTTGTCTTCCTTTGATTGCACCCCAGATTTTAGAAGCTCTGGCTTAAAGAAGTGATGCCTTACAGGTGGGGAAAAAAGGAGAATATTCCAATTAGAAAAAAACCTAACTTCTCTGTCACATCTGGCCTTCATGCCTCAATAATCCCTTGAGCACAGCTCATAAATAATGAGCTCTCGGAGACTGGCTGTACAATTCCAGTGCATTCTATTGACTTCCAGGGGATGCACAAAAGGATAGCATATATCCTTAAGGCAAAAGTATGTGCTGTTTTCTTGGTCTCCTATCAAATGTATATTGCTAGTAGTTTAATTACTATTTATTGAGTACTGCCGGTAGGCTATACATGGCACAATAGAATTGCTGTGTGTAACAGAAATTATTTTTATCTATTTCTTTCTTTATCATTACCCTGATATCCATTTCATACCTTTTTGTCATAGCTTTATGTGATACAGATTAAAAACATTTTGATTTGAAAGAAACTGAGGAAAGTACAAGCAAGCAAATGTCAAGGGATAACCTCATCATGTTAAAAAAAATCCAGACAAAACCCCCCTTTTTCCAGGTACAAATAGTCAAGAGGATGTAAAATATCACTTTAATCTCACCAAAATGGAAAAAAAAAAATTATTGTACACATCTAACTAGATAGTCAGATGCTCAACTGAGGTGAGTTTACTAATTCTATTGACCTCAACAGACCTACTATTTTTTGTTTATTGGCAGACTAACTTTAGTTTGATGCAGTGCCAAAATCTTTGAAGTGTTGACAAAAAGAGTAACTGCAGTGTAAGAAAATTAGAGGGAAACATGACACAAACATATTCCATAAACTTCACAGAAGCATACCCAGGTGGGACACAAAAGAAAGATGGAAACAAGTCACCTTCATGTGATCTGGCTCCTGGTAAATCACATCTTCACCTCAGGTTATGAGAATGGCATACCCTTAGGATTGGATTTTTTTTTTTTTTTTTTTTTTTTTTTTTGACTAGGGCTTGAAATAAGAAAAGTGGACTGTTTTGTTAGTAGGAAAGAAATTAATACGCAGATCCAGTTCCAAAATTTTCAAGTCATTATTGGTTTTATGACAGGACAAAGAGAAAAATGCATCTGAGAACTTAAAAATCTAGATCTGGATTCAAATGTTGTGTCTTTGTCACATATTTAGAGGTATCCTATTGGTATATTATTCCTAAGAGGATATTATATGTTGCAAGGTGTTTTCATTAGCCAAAGCTGACTAGTCCTTCTGCACATATTTTCTACCTTTAAACTTTTTCCAAGTATTTTTTCTGGGATCCATTTCCTAAAGGCAAAGAGACTAATGTCATGACACTATCTGTTTTGTTTTCTTTCCTCTGCAGGCTTAAGTAATAATTGGGTATCTTGTTAGCAGAACAGAAATGAATAACTCAACGTACATAAACTCTTCCACTGAAAATGTGATGGCTCTGGACAGCCCCTATAAAACTGTTGAAGTGGTCTTCATCGTCCTGGTAGCAGGGTCTCTCAGTCTAGTCACCATAATTGGGAACATCCTGGTTATGGTATCAATCAAAGTCAACAGGCACCTACAGACCGTCAACAACTATTTCCTGTTCAGCTTGGCCTGCGCTGACTTGATCATCGGCATCTTTTCTATGAACCTGTATACCCTCTACACTGTGATAGGCTACTGGCCCTTAGGGCCTGTGGTGTGCGACCTCTGGCTGGCTCTTGACTATGTGGTCAGCAATGCCTCTGTAATGAACCTCCTCATTATCAGCTTTGACAGATACTTTTGTGTCACCAAGCCTCTGACATATCCTGTAAAGCGGACCACTAAGATGGCAGGCATGATGATCGCAGCTGCGTGGGTGCTGTCCTTCATCCTGTGGGCCCCTGCAATTCTCTTCTGGCAGTTCATTGTGGGAGGAAGGACTGTCCCAGACGGGGATTGCTACATCCAGTTTTTTTCCAACGCTGCTGTCACTTTTGGCACTGCCATTGCAGCCTTCTATTTGCCTGTTATCATCATGACTGTCCTTTACTGGCAAATCTCTCGAGCCAGTAAGAGTCGAATAAAGAAAGGGAAAAAGGAAGCTGCCCAAAACCAAGATACAGCTTCCCCCAGCCTTGTCCAAGGTAAAATAGTGAAACCAAACAATAACAACATCCCAACCAGTGGGGATGGGTTGGAGCACAGCAAAATTCAGAATGGAAAAACCACTGGAGAGACTGTGACAGAGAACTGTGTTCAAGGGGAGGAGAAGGAGAGCTCAAATGACTCCACCTCTGTCAGCGTGGTTGCTTCCAACATAAAAGAGGATGAAGCTGCCAAAGATGCTAGACAGGCTTCTGCCTTCCAAGACCATCTCAAAGTGGAGAACTCCAAGCTGACATGCATCAGGATAGTCACCAAGTCCCAAAAGGGTGACTGCTGTGCCCCCACCAACACTACTGTGGAGATAGTAGGCACCAATGGGGAGGAGAAGCAGAATAGCGTAGCCCGGAAAATTGTCAAGATGACAAAGCAGCCAGCCAAAAAGAAACCACCTCCTTCTAGAGAGAAAAAAGTGACAAGGACTATTTTGGCCATTCTTCTGGCCTTCATCATCACCTGGACCCCCTACAATGTGATGGTGCTCATCAATAGCTTCTGCACATCTTGCATCCCCGGCACTGTATGGACCATAGGTTATTGGCTCTGTTATATCAACAGCACCATCAACCCTGCTTGTTATGCGCTCTGCAATGCTACTTTCAAGAAGACCTTTAAGCACCTTCTTATGTGTCATTACAAGAATATAGGAGCTACAAGGTAAAAATACTACTACTAATAATAAAAATAATAATGGAAAGGGTGAAGATGTTCCAAATTAAATTAAAAAAAACCAAACAACAATGCCATAGCACTTTATGCTCTTCTATGGAATGTGCAATCCAGGATGTTAGTGGAAATACTGACATGGGGCATCAGCTCCACCCCTGAGAACTACACTTAAAAACATTTTTTTAATTGTTGAAAATAAATCCTGAGGACATGGAGATGTTTGAGGAGTTATTCAAGTATGTGGACTGGAGGCACAGTTCCTTGCTTTTTGAGAGTATTTTGCAGAAGGGCTTTAGAGTCTACGATTTTTTTGTCACTCTGTGTAAAATACTTGTTCCTTTTTTTTTTTTCCTGTATCTGTTTAATATGTCTTCATCTAGGGGGAAAAAAGTTAATTTTAACAATAACTGTGGAAGAGGCATAAGCATTGGGAAGATCCTTACATAATCCAAATGAATCATGGTAGAAGGTTTCTAAAGCTCAAAGTTGTCTACAGTTTTTTTGTCACTGTCATGTAAGAACCTTAATGTTAGGTAAATCATGATGAAAGTTATTTTATGTTGTTTATGACACTACCATTTCCAAAACTGCATCAGTTCTGAAAGTGTGCTTATGCTCAACACGTAACCATTGCCTAACCTGTGTATCATTCAAAGTCTGCTACTTGTCCCCTTCTAGGGGCTCTTGTTCTGTGATTCCTTCATCATGTCAAGATAAAAGTGAAAAAAGTTGGTCTTTTCCAGATTGCTACATCCCAAGACTGTTTCAGCATCTATGTAAACCAAAGCTTTTAAGACAATTTTGTTCACTTTGTTGGTCATATAACATCCACCCGTGGATTTGTCTTTTACCTCCATCAGCCTTTTCTTCCTTTTGTACCTTACTTGTCCAGGGCACGAAGATTGAATATCTGAAGAAATTGTAAATTCAAAGATCTCAGCCACTCAGCCACCATGGTGGCCAAACAAAGGGCCTCAGCTGAAGAATAGAAACAAGATTATTACTAGGAAAACGGAGGTTACATCCTTTTAAGCTGGGTGTATAGATGAAGAGGTATGCTAAGCTCCACAGAATGGATAGTATTAGATGACTGCGCTCTTGACCAGTCAAAAGATGATTCACATTCATTTATTGAAGAAAAGAATAAGATGGACTGACATGCCCACATGGATCAAGCTCTGCCTAACCCCTTAGTGTGAAACCAAGGGCCTTCCTAGGTGTATCCTGGACAAGATGTTTACTTTGTGGAAAAGATATTGGCTACATTGCCTTTTGCACCAGCTGGGAGCAATATTTGCACTGTGAGCCAAGGGAACACTATAAAAAAGCAGAGAGGAAAATAATGATTACACAAAACCAGATACTGAAATAGTCTGGGTGGGGAGCTGGCAGGGGTAAAGTCCAAATATTATCTGCTACTCCACACCAGCTCAAATTCAGATTCTTTCTGCCTGGCAAAGAATTTACTCTTTCAATAGCTGATATTTATTGTAGCACAACTGAGCACTGTGTGGATAGGACAAAGTGTATCAGATTACCGAAAACAGCAATTGTCTGCGAGTTATGCATATACTAGTTACCTCTTTCTTAGTAACTCTAACTTCCAGGCACTAGTGAAGGTACACCTACAGATTTTGTTACCCAAAAAAGTAGTTTGCTGCTTAAACAGTGTCCTGGGAGACTGTCTTCTGGAGTGAAAGCCACCTACCAAATAGGGCACTAAGTCATTCTGTATTAGTCTTCCAAAACGCACTTCAAAATAGCAACCTTTAAGATTACAGGGAAATTAATCTTGCAGACTTAAGTTTTACATTTGACAAGCTTATTGGAACTCAGTGTCAAACACTTTGGTAATATGACAATTTTCATGTTTCAAAGTACAAGTTCCTAGCAGAAAGTGAAAATGAGGAGGATTAAACTGCAGTAAATTAAGGCCACATTAAACTCAGGATTAATGTGTCTTAATATGCATTCATTGATTTTATATCCCTAGTGATTTCATCCTAATATATCTAAGTGTCTCCATGCCACCAAGGATCTAATTTTGCAATCCTCACTTGCCTTGAGTCATATTTACTATCACTATTTTCATCTTCCTGATTGTAAGGAAGAATAACTCAATGATAAGGCTTGCAAAACTGAGTGCTGCTTGTCTTTCAAAACTACATTCACTAGGCTTATCTTGACAGGTCAAAGGAAAGACTTACATGATCATTTCTAGGCCATTTATTCTCTTACAATGTTAAATAATCCAGATAAAAATCAAAGAAAATATGAAATCTGTTAATTTTCTAAATCTTACTTCTTTAGAAAAGTTTCATAAAAGAAACACATTTGCTTCTTTCTTTCAGCAAGTGCTGTGGGCATCAATAATACAGATACTCAAATTGGGAAATAATGGTTTGTATATTCTTATTTAATCTTTTAACTCCAGTTTTCCAGCAGGTGTGCAAATCCTTTATTCTGACCTTTGAAGTTGTCACTTGTTCGTTAATTATTAATTCCTCTAACAGCTAAGGACAATTCTACAGGTTAAGAAGTGGAAGATATAGATTAAAATTATATTTTTTCATATTGTATTTTTATGTGATGTGATGACACTCAAAATACCATGTAGAAAAAAATATTTGGGGGACAGCATTCATGAAACAAACAAATAGAAAGAAAGAAAGAAAGAAAGAAAGAAAGAAAGAAAGAAAGAAAGAAAGAAAAACCTTCAGTTTGAAACTTTCTAGCACTTTTCCCTAGCACCACTGCTGCTTTTGATCCTAAAGGACAAAATGCTTTGGTTTGTGTTTTACTATATTTAAAAGGCTTGCAGGACATACAATCCTATGTATTTCCACCTTGTACCAGTTCAATGAAAATATATCTCCATTGTACTTCCATATTTGCAGCCAATTAAACAAGGTACAAATATGTGACATAATGCACCTACTCATGTACACACAGGCATGCAAACACACACACCAAGATGGTTTATATACATGGAAAATAATCATCTAACATTCAAGATATTGCATGGGATTGTGTCCATGTTGCACTCACTGGCAGCTGGTGGGAGGTGCAGACCCAACACTTCCTCACGACACTGTCTACCCCCTCCCGGAGGCAGAGAGGAGGCAGAGCCTTGCCCTGAGATACTGGGAACCTTCAACTGGTTGTGCCTCAGTAAGGCAAAAAGTGGGATAATCTTTCAGACCCGCATGATAATTTATTCTTTTGAACATCTTTTGAGTTCTCATGTCTTTCCTTTGTGTCCCAAACCACGTTCACCAGGTTTCACTTCCCTTCTGAGTGATAGTTCTGCGAGATGTAGATGCCGGTCTTGAAGAGCAGCACTCCCTGGGTACCTCCTCCGGCTTCTCTGGCTGTCACCTGTGCCCCGTCGCCCCCAAGGCCCCAGGTGGCCCTGCTGCTGGTGCCACCACGTCTTCACCTTGGGCTTGGCCAGAGGATCCCAGCGGCACGTCCACACCATGTGCTGCACTGGCCACTTCTGTTTCACACAGAAAGTGAGCAAACTGTGCAGGTGACTCATGAGAGGGGGGGGAAAAAAAAGCAAACAACAAAAAACAACAAAAAGCTGCAGCTAGCACTTCTTGCCCTCTCTTTTTCTTCCTCTTAATTATTTCAAGAAACAGGCTAAAACTGAAAAGGCCCAACCTTGACAGTAGCCCTGCTGCAGCAGGATCTGTCACGACGGCAGCCTGTGGGGAGCAACTTGTACTGTCAAAGGCCAGACCTTCCTTCACTCTTCAGGGAGAGGACAACAGCCTGAAGATACGTCAATCCAACTCGCACCTTTTCTGAGTATTAAAGACATCTGTGGTTAAAAAAGAAAAAGAAAAAAAAAAAGAATGAATGAGAGAAAGAAAGAAACATGCTGAGGTAATGTTGAAAAATCTATTTTCTAGTGCTTGCTTTCTTTTTTGCCTCACAAATGCTCATGGGGATGGGAGTGTTCAATTAAACCCCAGGGATTAGTTGTCTGGCATCCACAAAGCATAAAGGGGACAAAAGAAAGTGCTAAATCTATCAGTCCTCTGTTATATTTTTCTGGTGGAGGAAAACATATTGACAAGAGGAGGTGTCTTTAGCAAATGTGAGAACAGCCCACACACCAGTGAGGAAACCCACGGGGTGTCCCAGCTGCTTCTGGTCATCCCAGCAGGGGCAGGGGCAGGAGGCGATGGTCATTTCATGGTTTTTTTTCGTCTCCTGATGGATTTGAACATGTCCATGTGTCTGCTTTGCAGTGAGGCTTGCTAGTAAGCTCACTGGCCCCTTCCCCATTTTTGATTAATTTTGATCCCTGTTCTTCATCCCTACGGATGCGATGGCTGCCCCAGTGCTGCTGGTGGATATGGCTCCTGGTTTCTTCTGCGGTTCTGAGACGGCAGCACACTTTGCATTTTTCACCTCAACTGCCAGCAGCTCTCCTTGCTGCTTCTGTTACCTAAAACCGTTGCTGGTACCAGCCTTGCAGTACCAAATAGGTAAAGCATCCTCACAGCCACTTCACACCACGAAACTGGCGTGATGCAGCTGGGGGACAGAAAGAGTGCTGCTGGTATTTGTTTTCCCTCTCTCCCCTTACAGTAGTTCCTACAGATCTTTATTTTTTGACAAACTAGGTTGTTTCTCGTGAGAAGCCAAACGCTTAGGAAAGAGATAGCCAAAAACCAAACTCTGGTCCTGTGGGTGAGGGGTGTTCGCTGAGAGGTAGTGTGTTTGGCATCTAATATTCTTTAATATTTTTTAAGATCTCCAGGATCCTAGATGGCTCTGTACTCTCAGCTGACAGCAGTGCAAGTGATAGAGATTGAGAAGCTAAAAAGAGGCAAGCTTTTTTGACAAGCTTTTTTTCATCCCTGGTTCTACACATGTTTTATATAACATGTCTAGAGACACTTGCTAGGGCCGTGATTTCTATACAGTATGCTTTTATTGTTCCTGTATATCAGGAAAAGCTCTAGACTTCTAAGAAATCTTTTTCTTTTTTTTTTTTTTTTTAATTTATAGAAAATCTTTCCCTGAAAGAAGCTGATAGATGGTCCTTAATTTGCTGTGGCTTCTTTTCTCGTTTCTCTGCTTGTCTTCCCTCTTTTGTCACAGTCTTGACAAAAAAACTTTCCTCCTTCCTCACTTTAAGAAGCTGTCGCT